TTTGAAAGGTCTCACTTTCAAAGTTACGGATATTTTCATGTGGACAGATAGTACCACTGTTCTCCAGTGGCTTCACTCTTGTAGTAAACTACCCGTTTTTGTTGGTAATCGCACTGGTGAGATTCTGGAGTCTACCACCACTGATCAGTGGCATCACATACTTAGCGGTGATAACCCAGCTGATACCGGTACACGAGGGATTTCTTCGGAAGCCCTCAAGGAAAGCAGCTGGGTTAATGGCCGTAGTATATTGAGAACAACTGATTGGCCGTTCAAGCCCGATACAAGGGTTATTGATAAAATAAGACTCAAAGGACCATTATGTGATATTGACATTTGTCTGGAAAAGTCGTCAAATTTCGTCGTCGTTGTTTTGACAGAAAAAAATCTCCCCTTCGGAAAATGGGAGAGATTCAATTCAATTGTAAAATACAAACGCGCAGTAGAATTTTTGTTAAGATGGCTGCCATCCCATAAACCTTTCCGGTCGAGTATATTAGAAATTACAGACCCGTCTGAAATGAATATTGCTGAACAGAAGCTCATTTACCTGTCCCAGGGTGGGACATTCCCTAGTGAGCTAAAACTACTATGATCCGGTAAAGTTATCACGAGGAATAGTCGGATCGCCAAGTATTCGCCGTTCATTGGACCAGCTGACATCCTTCGCTCGACTGGGTGCATCAGCCGCTTGGTTAATTCCGATTTCGATAGCAAGCATCCGATTATACTTGATGCACGTCACGCGGTTGTTCGGTTATGGGTTCAGCACTTGCACGTTAGGAATTTCCATCAAGGCTTGAACTACATGCGTGCGGTTGTTAATTCGAAGTACGTTGTGTTAAATTTGCGATGGTTGCTGCGAAACATTGAAAATACTTGCGTTGCTTGCCGAAAACGCAAAGCGCAAACAGTAACTCATATTATGGCTGATCTGCCCATTGAAAGGCTGGGTTACAAGCAAGCTCCTTTCACTAACACAGGTGTCGACTACTTTGGGCCGTTCCTAGTTCCAATCCGGAGAAGTACGGAAAAGAGGTGGGTTTTTTGTTCACCTGTCTCACCACTAGAGCGATGCATACTGAAGTGGTCCCCTCGCTCGACACAAGCTCTTCTGTGATGGGCGTAGAGAGGTTTATTGCACGTCGCGGTACTCCGACTACCATCATGTCCGACAACGGAACGAACTTTGTTGGCGCTCAGAAAGAGCTCTTAGCTTGCATTGAGATTTGGAACAAGCTCGCACCCGCTGTTTTTGTTCAGAAAGGGATCAAGTGGAAATTCAATCCACCCAGCGCACCGCACCATGTTGGCTCCTGGGAGCGATTAGTTCGGAGTGTCAGGCGCGTTTTGTATGACATCTTAGGCAACAGAAGAGTAACTGAGGAGGTGCTAAGAACCACGCTGTGCCTTGTTGAGTAATCACTCAACGCCAGACCAATAACAGCCGTTAGTTCCGATCCGCTAGATCTAGAGGCGTTGACCCCGAATCCTTTTATTCTTGGTCAACACGCAGCGAGTTTTCCGTCGCTAAGTTTCGAAGAAAACTTCGACCATGAGAAGCGTTTCGCCAGAGCGCAATCATACGCTAACGCAATATGGACACGGTGGATGCGGGAATACGTTCCTTCCCTCAATAGGAGGGCAAAGTGGCACAACCAGTCAGAAGTTAAGTTGAAAGCCGGCGACTTGGTTTGGGTAATAGAGCCTGACACTCCACGTGGACATTATCCACTCGCACGTATCCTAAAACTGCACTATGGCAAGGACGGACGCGCGAGATCCGCCGATATAAAGACCGTTACGAGCGAACTGACCCGCCCGACCGTAAAGCTCGCTCCCGTTCTTCCTTGTTTAGGGGTGGAGGATGTTGCAGCGCAAATATAAACGCAAATGTGCGAGAGTATAAAGGCATAAAATTGAATCAAAATGTAACAACCATAAGCACAGTTGGCCAAGCGGACTAAGACAAAGTAACGTAACATAACAGTTGACGTAGGTTCGAGTCCCCCACCTGCCCATGTATTAATATACTAAAAAAGGGGGTTATATCCTATTTTAACTGTTTTTTGATTCTAATTCGGTTCAGCCTTGATTAAGGCTGACCGCTAAAAAAGAGCAATTTGTCTCAAGGACATCACCGACCGGTTCTTGTGGCTAGCTTGCGCTAATTTGTTATTGAAGCGGTAAACTTGATGAATTTATGAACTCGTTTTACAACAAATTTTGGGATAAAATTATCAATATTGCCTTTGAATTTTGTATTACCGAGAATACGAATTCATTGTTGATTTGTCGGTTAAATTCATCCTACGGAGATTAGCGGGCACAAACTCTTTGGCCTAATCAAATTTTTGATCTAAAATTGATTATTTGATTTTTTTTTGCTAGTAGTCCAGCAGAACTATCAAATGTTTTGGGTCATCCGCACTGACAAATTTGTGTTTGAAATCAATTAAAAATGCTTTCTATACGTATAAAGTACCCAAAATCATTTTTTCAGTAGCCCATTTACTTATGTAAATCAATTTACAAAGAATTTAAAAGAAATTTTATCGTGAGAAAATTATTGCCTATAAGCTCAATTTAAAACAATTTAAATGGGCTTTCGCAGGATAATAAAGCCTACAAACTTTAGCAAAAAAGGATTTAACTTAAAGATTGTTTGTTTCGGGATAGTTATCAAAACTTCTACTACAACATGTCCATCAGAGCTAGAGAGAGCAACAGTTTCGAGGGAAGTTAATTTCCGTATTAATTTGAGTTTAATGGAATATCCCTCTTGAATTTTGCAAGCGTTTGAACGATTAAAAGTTCCGGTTAAAGCAGTAAGATTATGCAATACTTTTTCAATTTTCGTTTACCTTATCATTTTAGGCGTAATTTTGTAATCTACATAAACGTGTTTTTGAAAAATTCAACTTCAAACAATCTATAATGCTCGAAATTATTCCGACTTTTGAAGAAAACCGAATATTTATGCTCGGTTTGGTTGTTTTTATTCAGTCAATTTTCACCGATCGAAATAATAATTTTCAACAAAAATTTTTTATACCCCATTGAAGATATCGACTTCTTGAGTTCAAATGTAAAAAGATATTTTAACTCCGATTTTTTTGTAAAGTTCTGGTGGTTTTAAAATGGGGGTTTTACACTTTGATATTGTCCAAAATGTATAGCTTTTCAATAATTTCTTTTGCCGAAATTTATTCAATATGATCTGAGGGACTGTCATGTTTGCCCTGATATACGAGCAGTCTTTTTGCTTAAGCCAAGAAGTTTGACTAAGAAAGAATTCTTTGTATTGGTTTTTAATGATCTAGATTGTAACTAAATTGCAAAACAACGTGTTCATTTCCCCTAAATTTGAGCTTTAAAATTTTCATAATTTTTTATGCGTTTTTTAGGCTGGATGCGTAATGTTACGATGTAAAACTTGAATCAAACTTTTAGTTTGTTCTGTAAAAAGCTTGTTCACCATGCTTGAAAACTTTATTTGAATTTTAAAACCTTGATGCTAAATGCTCCATAAATTATGTGCTTGCCATCAGGGGCGGATCTAGGATTTTCTCGAGGGGGGGGGGGCTGATTTTCAAAAAAATTTCCAAAATTTTGACGACCTTTTTTTTTAGGTCGACCAAATTGATTTTTCGAGCTCTCCCAAAGCACTGTTTTGCCCCTATTTTGGGGCAAAACAGTGCTTTGGGGCAAAACAGTGCTTTGCACTGGTGTTTTGCACTGGTCGACCTATTTTGGGGCAAAACAGTGCTTTGCCGCAGGCAAATTTTTGAAAAAAAAAACAGTAAAAAAAGCCGTTTTTGGGCACTTTTTGAAAAATTTGTCACCGTTTGCAAATGAAAAATATGTTACATTTGTTATATGCAAATTGCCATATGAACACTTTTTCAACTTTTTATCGAATTCTACGAGGGGGATTCGCTTAAAAGCCTTTTGAAAATTCGTCCCCATTTTTATGACCCTCTGACGAACCTAAGTTAATACATTAGCCGACTGCTTTATATATATTTTTTTTTCATTGAAAAACCTGTATTTTTTTTACAATTTTTCTCAATATTGAAAACCCTACAGCTTGACAAAAATAAAATTGAGGTATTAATAAAAAAACTGATCTTCTAAAACTACAAAATTTCAGCGAATGTATTTTTTTTACCAAATCCTGAACTTTTGAACGCTCGCAACCTTATTTTAATTCTGCGTCGATATAATAACGCTCGTGCGTTTTTTCTCGTGTATGGATTATTTGATATTGATAACTTGCTACTGCGCATTTCCAGTCAAACATCAGAAGTCGGACTTTGTTCAGCCAGCAAGTTTGAAGCGAAAGGAAGAAAGTTTGAGTTTAAAACAAACATCAAACTACCAAAAACCACATCTCAAAAATGTCCAGACTTTTTTCATGAGAAATCTAAATTTTTGTACAAAATTTTTTAGTTAGAGTTAGTAATTAAACATGTGTTATAACCTAAAAGCTTGCTGAACAACATAGCTGTTTTAGTCAGGTCTTTAACTAGACTCACGTAACCAAGAAAGAAACATAAATTAAGTACAACGTACTACGTCATAACTATGCTCAACATCTAGAAATTTACGAGTCGTTTGCTGTCGCTATCTATATACGAAGTCCTCTCGGAAATCAATCGGATCATACAGTCGTGTTTACGAGAGCGAGGTTCAAGTTTAGCCGGGACTTAAACGCAGAGAACTGTTATATCTAGTTAAAGATCATACGAAATCAATGTTTCATGCCTCAACAGTATATTTTATTAATTGGGTTCAACTATTGTCGAGTCAATTGGCATAAACTGATTGATGGATGCTGATTTTATTAGCCAATCAGATTTCGATAATACTTCAAACAACCCAAAACAGTCGATTGCTGTCACTATTACAAGTGTTAAAACATTGGGAGCATTTCCGGCACAATTCACAGGGCAGTTTTCAAACGTAGCCGAAAAGGCAGTAAGCCGAAACGTGGAAGTATGGCGACGGCGGGAACGAATGAGAAGGGGGAGCGAGAGAGGGAGAGGGGGGCTGGGGGTGGGGGTAGTAACCACCACGAAGATGCGCCTGTGTTGACTGGTCAGACTATTTCGGCTGGGACTGATAGTGAAGAGAGCTATAAGTTCTTGAACGCTATTGGCAAGGTAGCGTTTTTTTTTTCGAAATCGAAAGTTTTATCTTTTTCTTTCTAGTAACACCCACAATTGACTTCCATTTCTGGGAAAAAATAGGTTACAAATAACTAAAGCGTAAGTTATAGCTTGTTATAGTGTAAGTAGCACTGAAATTCCAGTCACGGATGTTGTTCAAAAAAATCAAACAAATGACGAATTGTTTCTTAGTTTTTCTACGTTTGTCTAGTTGATTGATTTATTTCAATAAGCTGTAAATTTGAAACTAAAAAAGACTATTTTAATTTTTTTGTGTTGTTGTTATTTTTACTCACGTCTTTGTTGCTCACGTTTTCTAGTCCACCATGAAAACAGCTGATTGACCAACTGGAAAAAAATTTCTCTTAAAACAGCGATAGAAACCCTTTTGTATATATCAAAACAATTAAAACGTTTGCTGTGCAACTAGCAGAGATTGGTCAGATCACAAGAAAAGAAAGAAGTGAATCAAATCAAAACTAAAAAAAAAAACTTTTTTTTTTGAATTTTTTTGTTTTTCAATAATCTTTTTTTTCTCAGTCAGAAGCGACGAACTCCAGCAAAAAATGCAAGATGATATAATTTAGGGTTGAAATTAACTCGTTTCCAATCAGCCACCTTCTTTTAAATTGACTTCTTGAGAAATACTTCAAAATTGTAGCAATTCAAGAAAAATTGCTATGGTGAACAAACCGCTGATTGTGAAAAGGTCTTTTCTTCATGACTCACGTATTATAAAGCATTTAGCCATAATCACACGTAAAACAACAAAAAAGCAACCTTGAAAAGTAATGGGACTGAATAAGCTCTGAAGTTTCCACTTGTCGCTTTTGTGTATTTGTGTAATTAAGCCTGAGAAAGGGAGAAAATCCGACTGAGGTTATAACGACACTCAGACAACTTTTTTGGAATTCAAGTGGTTTAATCTTTTCAAATTTAGCGTTTCATTAAGATACTTTGTTTGAATTTATCTGGTTCGCTTTTTTCCAGTTCCCCCTTTTGTTCCAGACTTCTCATGTTTTAAACTGCATTAAAACGTGTCAGCGGTATCAGGTGAAAAAATTTTCACAACATTTCTTTCATGAAAAAAGCCGTGTGAACATTTTACGAGGGGGTGGGAAACTGGAAAAGAGCCGTCTGGTTTGCCCACTTTTGAAGTTATCCAAATCATAAAGCTGCTGTTAGTAATGAAAACACTTTTAAGAAATTAAGTATAAATCAAAATTCCGAAATGAACTGTATTGGAGTTTTTTCGGAAATTTGCTTGTTTAAGTTTTTTTAGAAGCAATTTTTTCATTCTTTTGACAGCAAAAAGTGGCTCTTTTTCCTTCCCCCCACCTGCAAACTTTTCATTATTAAAAAGACTATTCGCCTTGTCGGATTGTCATGAAAATTGACATTCAAATTGTTCATTTCGGTCATGAAAAACATCTTTGGTCTCCATAATTAACATTGTATAGCCACTCGTTAGTCTATGAAAATGATGCTCGTGTGAGGTGGTTGGGGAAAGGAAAAAATTCCCAAAAAATTCACCTCATAGCGATAATTGTATTCCATAGAATGAAACAAATGAAAACTGTTAATGTGAGAAGAGGAAGAAAACTATAAAAAAAACTTCTAAAAAAAACTGGTTAGGGGTGACTCAATGAGCACAATTTTTTCAATTAAGCACAACTTAGCGATTAGTTGAAAAAATGATCTTAGCGTCATAAAAAAAGCTCAATCATAAATCAAGCATAATCAGAGAAAAAAAATTTTGAAGTTGTCGAAATGTTAACAAAAAAGCTGAAGTTTGAGCCATTGGTGGTCCAAAATGAGTTTCGATTAATCAAACATCATAAAAAATAGACTGATAAAAAAGAAGCGATAAAACTTTTTTAAGTCGGAATGTAAAAACCATTGTAGCGCCAGGAAAGATTGTGAAAATTAGCTCTCAAGACCTTGTCACCGAAAAAATTGTATGAAAATTCACTGCATTTTCTATTTTTTTTTTGTAAAATTGGTATAGCTTGCTATCGAGTAAGTTTTACTAAACAAAGTATCCTCGAGTAGTTTTGTGACAAACAATTTGGAGCTTTTTTTCTACTTACAATTGTTTCTTTTTCAAATTTTTTTTTCTTCAAGTTTTCAGTTTTTTCGCACTGCACTTGCTATAGAGAACAAAAGTGATCAATTTTGCTGTTCAAAGTAAAAAGTGCGATCCGATTTGTTCTTCTTACTTTAGACCGTAACATCATGCATTTAGCCGTAATGACAGGTTTAACAACTGTAAAAAAATTTAAAATTAGGTAGGGTAGAAAAGATTTAATTTCATGGAAACGTGACTGGACTTTGGGTTCTTTTCCAATTCCCCCATCTTTCAAAACATATACATATAAATAAATATAGATATATTTTAGTTTTACCTGTTCTTGAGACTTGCTGCGTAATATTACGATGTGAAATACGGAGAACAAATCTACTTACGGTAGTCAGTTTGAGCGCAACGCCAAATTGCATTTTCTTATGATAACGTCCAATCAGCTTTGCAAAACTGATTTTAAAATTGAAGAGCTGGAAAAAAAACGAAAACCTGATAAAAGAAAATGTTTTCAGAAGAGTTAATTTGTTCACTATGCAAACTTTTTTCCATAACGTTAAAGTAGTTTTTAAAAGTTAAACTTCGAATGCAGTGTAAAATGGGAAAGTGCCTGAAATGAACACAAACTAAAAAGAGCAAGCAGAAATTCCATTTACAAATAATAATGACAAAAACTAATGAATCTTTTGCGTAGCAGCAAAAAGGCGGTAGAAAAAGAGTGTTTCTTTTTGTTGGAAACTAAGTACCACTAAAAGTTTTGAGCAAAGGTCTGCAGGAAAAAATGGCTCCTTTCATGTTTCTCATTCCCCTCAAAAACTTACAAAATAAAACTGTTCAGAAATTCAAAAAAAAAACAAAGTTGGTGAACTGGAAAAGAGCCTCAAAAAAACCAAGGAAGCATCACAAGTCATCATTTCTATCATTTTTCAAAGCCCAAGAGTTTGCGAGTTGGCTCAGGCTCCTTTTAAGATGCGATGAAAGTAGTTAGCACTCTTATGTAGGTTTTGATGTTTTTGTTCATATTAGACCAACAGGACGGTTATTGTTTTGAAAATTAATAAAGGACAGAAGTCAATTCAGGAATTACTATAATTCAGTTTTTTTTTTGTAATTTCCAGTTTTCAGGATATCGCCTTATTTCACAATTTCAGTTTCTTGGGCATTTGAACTTTTTGATACTTCAACAATTTTATGTGAAGTTCTTATTAAGATTTTTTGTCCATTTTGTCTTCTTGCTGTCTGATTGTTAACAAAAATGGTATTTGGAAGGCTTTGACAACGGCAAGTAATTTTTATCTCAATCTGTAACCTCGTAAAACCTTTAGTTACGCCATAAACTTGATGTTTATTTGAGATAGGGGAAAAGGGAACCTACGTTTGTTGTCCTCAGGACTGTTGCTATTAAAAGAAAACCTTGAATTTTTCACTTGCTCTGTAGTTTAGCAGAAGCTGGGAAATTTTTCGGCATGAAAAGCATGTTTTTAGCAAGTAGCCGAAAAAATTCTGACCATTTTTTTTGCAAAACTTTTAAAAAAGAAAAAATTATTAAAAAAACCATAAAAAAGGAAGTTCCTTTTTGGTTCTGTTCAATTACTTTTCTAGTTTTTTTTGTATGGAACTTGTTCTCTAATCTAACATTTTTTTATTGCATTTTGCCAAATTGAGAAAACTTCACAGCACATTTATAGAAGTTTTGAGATAACAAGAAAAAAATAAAGATACCCTGAACTAGCTCTTGGTAAAATTTAAATTTGAGTTTATTTCTGTTTCTTTCAAGGTGTCATTTCGGAGAAAAAATTAGATTTTAAGATTTTGTTTGAAAAACTAAAAGAAAAATCTCCCCATTTAATTTAATTCTAAAGAAAAAACAGTAGAACAACAAAATAATCAAACAAGTATTGGTTATTTTCCAATTTCCTACCCGTTTGTCAATTTACAAAATAAAGCTGTTAAAAATTTGTTAACACCGAACTTCACATGTAAAAGGTGTAAAAACTTATTGACCTGTTCATGCTGACATTTTTTTATAGCATGAAAAGCCATTTTAAATAAAATTTCAGAAAATGAATGTAAGTAAAATTCAAAGGAAGAACTGGCAAAGAGCCAAAAAATACCTGTTTCAACAAGAAAAATTGCAAATTACGTGCATTCGCAAAAAAACAGAAAAAATGAACTGATTAAGATAAAAAAAACTGAAGTGAAATTCAAAAAGTACTACAAAAAAGTAGCTTGTTATTGCTTGTAGCAGAGAAAACTCGAGCCTCAGCTTAATAAAAATCAAACTCAAATCCCGTTTGCATTTTACGTTTTTCTAGTAAGAATGATTACTAAAAAAGGTAACAAAGTGGTCTTTTTTCTATTTCAACTTTTTGATTTTTTCAAGAAAAAAAATCGAGTTTCACTAAAACAAGCTCCAAATTATTGTTCAGCTGTTTCCAAGTTTTGCAGTTTCAATTTTTTCCTCACCTTAAGCACTTTGAAGAAATTTTCAAAAGATTTTTGATAACAATTCACAGGTAAATTTTAAGTTCCGCTGTTTTCATTTCGATTATAACTTTAATTTCCGCTTTTCTCGTAAAGGTGAAAAATTAGGTTCCTTAAGTTTTCTCGAAATCATTATTTTCGTTTCAAAACATACTGAAAACTCTATTTTTCAGCAGTTTGTTTGAAGCTAGTCAGGCTAGAAAAACATAAGTAACATTTTTCAAGTTGCAAGTGAATTGTAGTGGTAAATTTGTCTTTTAAGACTAAGAGATGAATTGTATAAAAAGTTTTGTATCAAGTCAAAATTGGATACTGTTGAAATCTCAGTCATATTTTTCTGAAAAGCGATGTGAACAGTTTGGAAAAGAGCCTAATTGAAAATCAACTTTCCAATTCTCATGCTTTGCGTTTTGGCGTTCAAAAGATAATGATATATTTTAAAAGATGATTTACTGTCAAACATTTGGACGTTAGATAGATCACGCACTTTTCCTCCTCCCATTATATTTTTCAATTTTGCTAGACCTAATTTGTTCTGTTGAGATCAATAAGAAAAAATAGAAGCTTTAACACACCAAGATTTCAAACAATAGTAAGTCATTAAAATATTCAATTTAAAAATTGACGCCTCAAATCGGAGACAAAAAAAACGACTGTATCAGCGTTCGTTTTACCTGACAATTTGACCATCTTCTAGACTAATTTATGCGCGCTTTCAAAGGTGTGTATGTGATATTAAAAACGCAAAGCTAATCATCATAAGTGCTTCAATTAAAAATGAAACAAGCTTATTTGATAAGAAAAACTATTGCCTCCGCCCCTTAATCTTTTAGTTTTTTTCGATAATTGACATTGGCAGTCCAAAACATATAGTGTAGTCCCCTATCAGTTCTTTTTCCTCAGGATCAAGCAGGTTTATAAACAAACAGTTTTTTTCTGGTTAACTGGCATGTGTTATGATTAGTTTATTGTTTTTTAATTGGTTTTCAAAAGGCGCCTACTAAAGCCACTCACTATGCCATAAAAAGTTGCTCTCGGGACTGCTTAAAAATGAAAAAGCCAGCCTTTCTATACCAAAAACAATTGAGACTATCGTTCTGGAAACATTCAAAAACTGCTGAATTGCTTTTGATTGAAAGATGAATCAAGTATTCCTCCTTATTTTTTCTTCAATTTCCGATTTTAAATAACCTGAAGGTCATTGACACGCCGAACGCAAATAAAAAAAATAAAAATCTATTTGTTTTTTGAAATTTTATCTGAGTGAAAATTGTCAATTTTTCCATTTTGGAGGAATCACCACAGGAAAAGGTTGAGCTATTCATTTCTCAGCCACGCTTCAGTCTAAGTCTCGCAAAATTGAAATGAAGCACTTAATTTAGTCTTTTAAAAAGATTACTAGTTGCCTAATACCTGATATTTTAAGACACAAAGTTTTAAAGAACAAATAAGCTTTCTATTGAAAACTTTAAATATTCAAACTATAAGAATTACCCACATCATTAAAAGTTCTCAAGTTTACATTTTCCCTTTTGCCCCATTTCTGGATCTTATTTTTAAAAAAAAATTTTTAGGAAAGATATAATAGTATTACAAGGTCTGCTAGAAATTAACAAGAAAATTTTTCACGTAAAGGTAAACAGGAGTAGATTTTGGCAGAAGCATTGAAGCACCCACTTTTGAATTAGGACTTTATGCATGATAAGTGCATACGAGCAGCACATTTTTTCGCTTTTGGTCTAATATTAGCGGTGTAAAATTATTTATTTTTTACTGAAAATAAAGAAGAAACTTTGAGTGTTGTTTGAGATGAGTTATTTTAAACAAATGGCGCTGTTTTTCCTGACAGTACTGTAATTTTTTTATCTGTGGTTTAACGTTTGAGTTCAAAAAACTTTCACAATCTAGCTCATTCAACGAATGACAACGAATGTAACTTTCCAAAAGAATTCCAAAGTTTCATGTAGAAGACACAGAGAAATATTCTATCCAATTTATTGCCATTGAGATGCTTTCTTTAAAAATTCAACCAGTAAATATTGTAAAAACTGTAAGGGTAAGTAAATACGCTTATCAAAAATTGTTTGCTTATTTTTCTGCTTATTTGATTTCGTTAAAGTTGTTTCCTGAACGTGTTCAAGAACAAGGCTCGCAAAAAGAGTTAATCACAAAGCACAGTAATTAGAATGCTAACACAAAACAACAGGAAAAATTAAAAACTTGTTCGATGATGAAAAAAAATTTCTGGCGAAATTTTTTCAGATTGAAATGCTCTGCTTAACAAACAAACTACGGCAAGCTTAATTTTTAAGCATATTTGCATTTTTTGTTGATTTTCAGTGGCTTTAGTTTTTATTCGATAATACATAGTTTTATTTGCTAATTTCACTATATGTAAGGGAAAAACTATTCAATTTTTTTATACAGGCTATACATTAACATCGTCAAAAAAAAAGAAAACATTTGCATTTTTTTTGAAAAATTACCCCACGCGCTATTAGGAGTTGATGAATTTAGTGAAGACTCATATAAGGGTCTTGGTAATTTTTCTGTTTTTATTTCAAGGAAGAAGTCTTTATTTGATTTAATAAATTAAGTTGTTTTTTATAAGAATTAATGCAAACATGAATGCACTTAGCTATATACGCACTTTTTGAGTTCAATTTAAAATCATCTGCTGAAAGATAAAAGACGCTTTCCAAATACGAAAGTGGAATTGGCATAAAAACGTCAGTGAAATCTAATTTCGAAAGAGTGACTTTTTTGCATTCATTGATAATTTTTCGACTGTCTGTTGGCTAATTTAAGACACAAACTGAATTACCATACAGTAACTTGATAATTAGAACAATTAGCATTCCATAAATTAAAAAATGTTTCGAAATTTATCGCGTTTCAAGCTGAGTATCAATTTCTGTCGAAGCATCAGTTTTGTCAAAACGTCATTTTTGGCGATTTTTTGGTAAAAGCAATAGTTCTGGTCAAACGCATCAGCTTGCTGTATGAAGAAGTGGATTCTCCTCATCTTTTCTGCCTCTAAAAATGATGTTCATAATGTTAATTCAAGAATCGTGAAAGTACTGAAGGTCATCGTGATTTTTTTGTTTGTTTCTTTTCAAGAAATATGTTCATTCTCAAGTTGTATTTGTTTGTGCTGTATGACTTTTGGTTCCTTTGTAATAGTTAGAACATAGTTGAAAGATGCCCGAGGGAAAAAGAGCCCGGTCGATGGCTGCTTTTTTGCCTGAGGCCATATTCAACTATGTTCTAACTGTTGAAGAGTATGTTTTTGCTCTTTCTGAGAGAAAGATGGCGGAAAATTGTGAAAGAGCCCGAAAAATTGTAAAAGAGCCTGGAAAAGTGCGCGAAACTATGCAAATAAGTTTTTTTCATTCATGCGTTCTAATATTTCATTTTACTTTCATGCCTTGTCATGAAAGAACTTGTGTGAAAGAGCAAAAACATACTCTTCATAAGTGCAGTTCAATTTCTCTGTCATAAGGAAGGCAAACTCCAGATCGAACAGCAAAAATGTAAAGGAAAAGCAAAAAGCAAAAATCTGATTGAGTTCTAGTATCAAAAATGGAATTTAATTTTCAGATTTTCATGCGAAATAATTAAGCTAATGATCCAGTTTTCTCAAATTGGTTTGATTTTATCAAAAACGTGTCAATCATAATTTTTTCTTAAACTTCAGAAAGCCTTAAGGCCTTTGTTTTTTGTGCATTTCGAAAGTTGCAACTTTAAAAAAAAGTGAATTATTTTTCGTTTTTTTTTTTGCGTTCATGACTCTTTTTCTTTTGGTTGTTGGCTATTTAAATGTTTATAAAAGGTGATGATGAGAGTGAAAAAGGTTGAATGAAATGAAAACTTTCGCTTGATGTCTTAGGGTGGCTATGCGGACGTATATAAAGTGCACAATCGAGAGGGAGTCAGCTTCGCCTGCAAGGCCATTCCAAAGAGCCGGCTGACCAGTTCGTCCAAACTACAAAAAGTAGGAATTAAAATCCGAAATTTTGGAGATGTAAAACGAAAATTAAACTTATTTTGGCCAATTAATGGAGACACATTTTAGTAATTTTCTTCAAATATGACTCGTCAACAAAAACTACATTAAACTGAATGTGGGAGGTGAGGGGGGGGGGGGGGGGGAGGGGGTATGAACAAATTTTTTTTTGTTTCGATCTAGGTGAATTTGAAATAGAACACAAAGTGAATTACTTATTTATAGCAAATTAACTGCTTTCGTTGCTTAAATTTTGGCTATCAAGCGGGGAGCTAAAAATGGTGAAAAAACAATTCCTTAATTTCATGAAAATGTTTTTAGGTGCGTATGGAAATAGCTATCCATAAGAGTCTGGACCATGATAACATAGTCAAATTCATGGCCACATTTGACGATGACACCTTCATCTTCATCGTCCTAGAATACTGTCAGCACAGGGTGAGTTCTCTAGAAGAATTGCCCGAATAGTCATCGAAGATTACGCGAGTAAGTTTTTCCCTCTGCCAGCTGAAAGTTTTCTAATACAAAAAAAACAGAATCCATCTTGCTCGAAGTCTTGCAAACAACCAAGAAACACTCTTTCTATGAGGAGGTTGTTATACCATCTTATCTGTCGCAAAAAACTCCTCAAAATCAACCTGAATTGACAAAAAATATATACATGGTATTAGAGCTAAAAAATCATTTGATCTTGCTACTGCGAATTACCAGATCCAATTTTCTGATAGAGTTTGTTCAATTTTCCTAATGCTATATCTTTAGTCGATGAACATTCTGATCAAGCAGCGGATGACCCTAACTGACCCCGAGGTCAGGTATTTCCTAGTACAGGTGATGGATGCCCTGGGCTACTTACACAACAGACGTATCATCCACAGGGACCTCAAAGCGGGAAATATTCTGCTGAAAGGAAGTAGTAAGCTGACAGTGAAGTTGTGCGACTTCGGACTGTCGGCTTTGTTGACCCATGACTCGGAGAGACGAAAGTTAGTACGTTTCTGTTTTCTTTCAAATTTTCATTGCTTTCATTAATTTTGACTTTTTTGAAACTGAACAATTAACATTTATCTTGTTTGGCACATACAAGTAGAAGCAAAAAATAGCATATAGAAGTAATTGGAAAAATTATTTAAAAAATACAAAATCATGAATTACCACCACGTCGTTTTTTGGCAATTTTGATGAAAAAATTCAGGTGTTCTTTGCTCTCAGTTTTTGACGTTTGTTGAAAATTCATTCTTCTGTCCAGTTCATAATAATTTTTAGCAAAATGAAATACCAGGAAATTAGTTTATAAATGAGTAAATTAGGTTATTTTTAATATCACGGGCTCTGTTGTTGTGTGTTTGTGCAGGACCATGTGTGGCACTCCGAACTACATAGCCCCGGAGATACTGCAGAACACTGGCCACTCCTTCGAGGCAGACATCTGGTCACTCGCCTGTCTCATGTTCGCCCTCATCACAGGCAAGTGCTGACCATACTAAAGGTGACCTTGAACAATACTTATATTGGTGACCTTGAACAACCTTTATGTTGGAGACCTTGAGCAACTTAATAGGCCACAACGAGGTTATGTTAGGGTCTTATGACACCGTATCTAGGTATTCAAATATCTAACTAAATGAGATCTAACTAAATTTAGGTCAATTAATTTGGTTCAAATTCGTTTTTACCGAAAAATGTATTTTCATCAATGTGGCATTGACTTATACATAATTTTTTCACCTAATCCTCTTGCTAAAAAACAAGAATATGTTCAAAAACACTGTCTACTTTTTCGTTTAGAATTGATACCCTATAAAGCTTAGGAAAGCAAAATCAATCAAAATAAAGTTTCATTTAATCAGAAGCTATGCAATCTTTTGTTTAAAATCTAAATTTCACAATAAATGTAAATAGAAACATGATCGAGTTTTGTGTTCAGGCAAGCCCCCCTTCCAGACAAAACCCATCAGAGAAATATATGCTCGGGTGGTGCAGGCGAAATACAAACCACAGACTGTTCCAGACAGACTCGCCAGAGATCTCATCAAGAGCACATTAGTCACAGTGAGTTGCAGTATCTTCTATAGTTATGCGTTTGTTCCGATCAATGAAAATGAGGCGCAACTTTCTATTCGTACTGATTTTGTTCCCTGGTTGTTCTCCATAGACCAAAAATGCTATTCATACAATTCCATAACCTAAGTCTATGAAATAATACTGTCATAAAAATTTCATTTTAATTTGCTAAAAGGGTGTCATCAAGTTTTCATAGAAGTTTTTTCTTGTTATAGCATAAATGTCGGGTTATCGTACAAAATATAAAAAGAAAATTGTTAAAAAAAGGATAATCATATGTTTTCCATATATGGAAAATGTATGACTAGCATAATTTTGATGATGACAACAAAAATCTTTCCTGTTTTGAAATTGCCTCACGTTTTTTTCTCAACCACAAAACGAATTTTGACCTAAAAAAACAATTTCCAGAAAAACATTTTCGCATGCAGATGTGAAATTTTTGTGTGCATTACGTAGTCCTGGATTCACAAAAATGGGATTTTTTAGGAGTAATGAACGTAGTGAAAACTCTCTTATTTTTCTTTGAATTCGAAGGCTGACGGATTTGTTTTTCAGTTTCGTGGGTCGAGAAAAAGGTCAGATTGAAGCCCTTTCAGTCGCAGCTCGATCAAAATCTTATAATTTTAGTGTCAAGTGAGAACTGGTTTTTACTTTTTGAATTTTTGAGAATTTTGAGTGAATAAAGCAAGCCAGCATGAAAATTGGGAAGAACATTGTAGTCGGGCGTGTTTTAGTTTTTTCCACACAAAATCAGGTAGCACAATCAATTAACTGATAGAATCGAACTTTGACCTAAAAAAATAATTTCCAATAAAAAAGATTTTCGCATGCAGATGTGAATTTTTTGTGTGCATTACGTAGTCCTGGATTGACATTAATGGTGTTTTTAGGAGTAATGAACGTAGTGAAGACTCTTATATAGGTCTTGCTGATTTTTTGTTTTTTGTTGCACTTTCGTAAATATGCTTTTTTTGAGTTCAATTGAAACTCATCTGCTGAAAGTGACGTTAACGGCACTCTCCAGATACGAACTTTGAAATGGAGCCAAGAAACGTGAACAATTTCTAGTTTCGAAAGTGAAACTTATTTTTAAGATTTCCCATCGGAATAAAAACTTTACCTGTTGATCCAGTTTTCTCAAGTTGGAATAATGTTGTCAGACAAGCGCTAAAAAAAATTGTTCTAGAAATTCAAAGAACTTAAAGGTTCTATTTTTTCTTTGAATTTCGAAAAATGAGATTTTTTCAAGAATGTCAATGTTTTTTTATGTTTACTTGGGTTCATTACTCTTTTCCAACCTTCAATTGGCTATTTTTTTCCGTTTCTCCGGATAAAAACGCTAAAAACTCTTAATTTTTTTTGTATGACATGTTTTTGTATGCCTGGATCAATGTATGATAATTTAAAGTTTTTGAAGATAATCATTATTAAAAGTGATGATTTTTTTCGCAAAAAAGTATTGTTTTTTTTTCATGCTCAAGTTTGATTTTTCACAGTGTGATTTTATGACATTCAGTTCCTTTTCTGAGGGTTAATTGTAGGAAACAATTGTCTGTCAATAACATTTCTGAATTCTCAAAGAGCTTTAGCGTGATAAACCTTTTTCTTTGAATTCGAAGGCTGACAGATTTGTTTTTCAGTTTCGTGGGTCAAAAAAAAAGATCAGATTGAAGCCCTTTCAGTCGCAATTCGATCAAAATCTCATAATTTCAGTGTCAAGTGAGAACTGGTTTTTATTTTTTGAGTTTTAGAGAATTTTGAGTGAATAAAGCAAGCCAGCATGAAAATTGTGAAAGGCGTTGTAGTCGGGCGTGTTTTAGTTTTTTCCACACAAAATCAGGTAGCACAATCATTTAACTGAATGAATCGAATGATATGTCATTTGAAAAATCTTTCACTCGTGATTCAAACGACTCCAAAAACCCTCAAACTTTTTTCATTGTTGATAAATATCCGTTTAAAGTCTTCAGTTTTTGATGTTATTTTTAGCAACTAAAATGAGCAACAGTGCTGATTTTTTTTCAAGCAATGCAGTTGCCGCAAATAATCGTCGGATTGAGTGGAGTGATGTATCCAACTGAAGCCCTTCAACCTGATCGAACAATATTTAAAATGTTCAAAAGCAGCGTCGAGAAAAAGGGTTTAAATTTTTTGAGTTTCAGTTCATTTTCGAGCCCCTGCCGACCCAAAGGGTCCCCCCTTTGATACTTTTTCAGAAATTCCTTTTTAGCCGACCGACCCTAAAATTTTTCTAAAGGCGCCTTTGGCGCCAATATATACTAACTTTGAGGGGGAGCGCGCGCCAAAAAAACGCTATTTTTTGTCAAAATTTTTCAAAAAGTGCCCAAAAACGGCTTTTTTGACTGTTTTTTCAAAAATTTGCCTGCGGCGCTGAAAAACCTAAAAAAAAAACCTAAAAAAAAAAGGTCGTCAAAATTTTGGAAAATTTTTTGAAAATCCGCCCCCCCTCGAGAAAATCCTAGATCCGCCCCTGATTAGCCTCACAAAAACTGAATCTCCTTCACTCGCGTATTTGTCTTATGTTTGTGATAGGTGTCTCATAAACTCTCCGCAATTTTTCGAGTATAACAGATGCAACTTCTAAATTTTATTGAGCAATGTTAGTGCAAGTTTGAATACGAAGAATTTGATTATGGTTCTGAAAAATCGAATGAAAGGAGAGGTACTTTTGAATAATCATTTGAACTGGCAAACGTTTTTTTTTTCACCAAATTTTTAACCCGTTACTTTAAGAAATCTAACGAATTTGGTTGAGTTGTTTGCAGGAGCCCACAAACCGTCCGAAGCTGTCTGTGTTTCGTAACCACGACTACTTCAACGAGTGGGCTCCCCCGGCCATAGACACCAATGTTTACGACGATGTGCCGGCTGAAGTGAGGGACTACATCAGAAACCAGAGACAGAACAGTTCCAGCAACAACAACTTCAACAGTGGACAGGGGTTGGTGCATTGACATATTTGTGAACTAGTGTTTTGATCTGGTCTTTTGAAATATTTTATTTTCCGTACATTGTATACTGTGATCCTGTTTTTGTTTGTTTCTTGTTGTTTGAGATCTTGTGTTTTAGAACATTTTTTGTTTTTTTTGTGTCTTGTTTTTTTTCGGGATGCCTTCGTGGAACCTAGTTAAAACTTACAACCCTATAGAGAACTATTTCATCTGTTGAGCGTACAAAAATTTTGTACCTTTTATTATGTAATGATCAAGGACCGAGTGAAATTAATATGAACTTTTTGTATTTTCATATAACCATAATCAGATTAGCTGAGCAAAGTGCTTCTCTGAAACAAACTTTGTTTTGTTTTTGTGTTCAGAAGTTCCAACGCGGGTCCCTCCACTTCTTCTGGTGCCCCTACGGGCCACTTGAGGAACTACGTGTTCGCCAACAACCACTTAGGGTCTAAGTTGGAGCGGCAGTCCAGCATGGAGTACATCACTGTAGTGACTAATCTGTCAGACACCCCCAGGACACCAGCCCAGGAGAGTGTGGTGCTCAATTGTGAGTCATTTTTTGGTGTTCTTCCATGACGGCATTTTAAAATTTCTTTATAAAATGTGAAAATAATAATCGAGTATGTTTCCTTCTTGAAAACGAATTTATTATTTCATATTCAGGATATAAGGTAGTTTGCTGGAGAATAAAATCTTGAAAAAAGTTGCTTTAATAACATGACAGAACGAGCAAATGCATAAAAATTTTTCAATCAATCAACCCCTTCAAACTGATCACTTACCGTTTTTTTTCCAATTACTGACTTTTGAGTTTCAGTAAGTTGACAAAATATACGGAGCATTCGGTTTTTCTGGCATTTAATTTGTCCAAAAACAATCCTTCGCTTAAACATGTAGTAACTTGAGTCACTTCATGAGATAGTTGTATTATGATTGCTTTTGTTGATGATTTCAGATGATGACTTGAACGACGAGGGTCGCAAACTGGTGGAGAAGATCGAACAGTGTGTTCGCAGCTTCAGACGTAAGATATCAAACCATTTCACCTTTCAGGCGCCTTAAAGAACCAAAAGATTATGAAATTCGGATTAGTTCAAATGATGCAACTTCCTCCCCCCCCCCCCCCCCCCCCCCCCCCCAAGAAATTTGGTGAGGTTGGGGAGAACATTTTCAAGTGGTCCCCTAAATTTGTAAGTTTTTACATCGTCGACAGATTTGATTTTTAGCTTCCAATAAACATCAAATTTCATTGCTGATGAAATAAAAACGCCTGAAAATTTTATCACTACTCATTTCAGAAAATCCCTAATAGTTTTTGCATACTAAAAATCGTCATATTATTTATACTAAAGTTCAAGCTCCGATTCGATAAAAGTTTTACGTTATGTTTCAATACTAGTTTTGACGACTACCCTGATTACGAAATCATGATGTTACGTAATCCCTTTTCCAGCCACGACTCAGCTCCGTCATATTGCGAAGATGGAAAATGCCCTTATATGGGCCATCAAGTGGGTGGACTACTCGGACACTAATCAGGGCTTCGGGTACCAACTGTCCGATGGATCATACGGGGTGCTGTTCCGAAATGAGACCAAAATGATGCTTCTACCTGACGGAGAGTTAGTGCATAAAAGACTTATACAACAAACTTTACATTTCGTTGACTTGGGTATGTTTTTGAGTGTATTTCTTTCTGTATTTTATGTTTTTCTCAATAGACCAAAAATGCTAATCATCCAAATTTCCATTCTTTAAGTCTATGAAAAAATGTTACTCATACAATTTTCGGATCAAGTTAACATCCTCCCCCCTGATAGACCAAGTTAAGATCCTCCACCCCAGCGCTTAAATTAATTTAAATTTTCTAAGCGCTGCATGTAAAATGCTCGGTTCTGATTGGCTGAAAAATTCCCAATTTAGAACCAAGTTAACATCCTCCCCCCTAAACGTGTTTAGGGGGGAGGATGTTAACTTGGTCCCAATTTTCATACATTTCAACTAAAATGACGAAATCGAATGTTTGATAAACTTTTTTCGTGTTGTGCCATAAAAATCGTTGTTTTGTCATAAAACAAAACCAAAATTTTTTTGCCAAAAAACGATACTCAAAGAAATTCTTTTATTTGAAATTGTATGACTAGAATTTTTTTGATGGTAATTTTGAAATTGCCCCGGAAAGTATTCGCACTTTTTTCAAGCACTAAACGAATTTGTACTCAAACAAACCTTTTCAAAAATTTTTTATTGCATGCAAAGTTTGATTTTTCAAATGCATTTCGTTTTTCTGCATTACAAAAATGGATTAGTTCTTCAATTTTGTAACGAAACATAAAAAAGCCTGTTTTTTTATTGCAAATTTTTCTAAGCGTTGAACAATTCGTAAACAATGAAAAGTCAAATTCAAAGAGGAGAACAGAGAAAAAAATAAAGGAAGAAGAAAAAAGCCAAAACTTACTCTAAATCAAAAGTTCCATTGCTCGGGACAAAAACCAGCGAACTAGTGACTCATCTTTTTTATATGCTCAACTTGTTTTCCGACTTGGGCTTAGAGTTGCTTAACCAGTTTTGATCATTTTTTAAACTTGTACTTGTCTGTAAGATAGCTTCTTGATGCCGAATGTTCAGTTGAGAAACTTTATTGCTTTCAAAATCAAAAATTATAGTGTTTGATTTTGGATTTTGAGTCCGTGTTGTTTTTTTTTTTTTTTTCTAATTTTGTCTAAGCATCATTTCATGCTTCGAATAATTATGTTTGGAGCAAAAAAAAACATTGGTCAAAAAACCTTTACCCTTAGGACCATCTTCTTCCTGACGAAGCGTGATCAAGACAGGGGAGCGGAGAGATTCGCGAATGAACTGAGGAAGGCGAGGGGGAGACTGGAAGTGTTCGTCAACTACATGACCAACAACCTAGTCGGGGTGAGAATCAGTACTTTATACCGAGCATCCACATTATACCGAGCTCATGAAAAATTAAGATAGGCTGATAGATATTATTGACATTAATACGAAGTAATAGACTGATAGAATTATTCAGATTCATACGACGCAATATGCGCTCGAACTCAAACAAAGGTCCTTTTGCAATATCAAAGTTTCGTTGCGTTACCAAAACTTCAGTTTTACACTTTTTAAATCGATATCGTCCAGTTCTTCTCTTATAAAAATATTTTTGTACTCAATAAAGAGAAACATAAATTTTGAAGAATTGACATTAGGAAAAAAAATAAAAACGGTTTGCAGTGAGATTTTTGTCAGTTTTGTCACATCAAAACCTCCTATTTTGGTTTTTCTCAGTTCAACATAGACAACATCAAGGACAAATTCCCCGTCCGTACCATCAAGGACCAGCCATTCCCGATCACGTGGACGAGGGGGTGGGATGACTTCAACGAACAAGACAGGGAGTACCTCATCATCATCGTGATCAGACCAGCCATCTATCAGGTAGGCCACGTGACCCCCGTTAGAACTAGGATATACTTACCATTTCATGTAAATTCAAGAAAAGATAAGGATTGTGTTTCTAATTTTTGTCCACTTAATCCAATTGTCATGGATATTGGCATCCGGCTGCATCACGCAGTTAAAACTACTATTTATTCTCACATAAAACTAGTAAAACTGAGCCTTTACGTTAAAACTGATGCTTTTGTACAAAAAATGTCGGTGAAATGTTAAGGTGAAATGATAGAAAAAACAAAAAAATGGTATTAATTAAAAAAAACAAGCATTTAGAAAAATTAAAAGCAAATAAGTAACAAGGATAGCTGGTTACTGTGCAAGTAGCACTGAATGTTCCAACCACAATCTTAAAAAAATAGGAAAAAAAAAGTTTTTTTCAAATTAGTGTAGTTTTTTTTCTAAAAGTTGTGATGAAAAAATCTGACCAAATAAAAAAGAGTTTAGGCGTATTTGCGAGTCATTCTAAAAATAGGTCAATTGGAAAACAGTCTTTGAAGAAAAATGACTAGAAAATTTTTTTAAAAAACTTCAAAATTTCAAAATTGCGCAAAAAAACTCCAAAAACTACCCTTGATTGAGTAAAACTAAGTTTTCACGACTTAAATTAAGCTTAAATAAGCTAATGCAATTACTAACTAAGTTACCGCGCTCTTATTTTATTTGGAAAAAGTGGTAGTATGAAAAGTGTTTGAAATCATTGATAAGAATGAAAAACATACAATTTAATAAATGTTTTCTGTAATAGCCAAAAACTAAACTATCGATAACTTATAGTGACTCTCAAAAGTTTGTCAAAGAGTTTGGATTTGGGTCATTTGCGAGCTAGATGTTAAAATGGTAGATTTGAGCAATAAAACAACCCCCTTCAATTTTAAGATTCATGCTTCAATATATGCATTACCAATTTGCTCCCATTTTTTTCTAGATCAACTTTGAAGACCACTCGAAGATAATTGTGGACTACAACAATGGGTCTCCAATCATCATGTACCAGCAGGATGGGGCCATAGTTCTCCTCACAGAGTTAGAAATACTAGCCCAAATGGGCTACACTGAAGACCTGCAGAAGAAACTGAAGATAGCCCTGACTAACTTCAAGCGAATAACCACTCCGCCCCCCATTTGAGGGAAAAAAATGCTGAAGATAAGAAAATGCTGAAACAAAAAAAGTGTGCTGAAGATAAGAAAGTTATTGAGTTAGTTATAATTTTCACCGGCCACGTTTACGTCATCCCATGTTTACGTTTTTCAGCCATCGTCATCAGAAACAAAACTGACCTCCCAGATTTCCAGTTCAATTGTTCTTGAAAAATTTTTGACGAAATCAAATAGAGTTCAAATAAAAGTTCAAATGAAAATTTGAGGGAAAATCTATTTGAAGAAAATCAGAAGTATTATGTATAGCTGGATAAGAAATTAAGAGCGAATTGGAAAACTGTTTAAAATCAGTAAGAATTGGAAATATGAGAGAAAAAAGTATGAAAAATTTGCAGGTTCTTGGAGTTCTGGGATCTCAATATATGTGTCGGTGCTCTAAATTTCTCATTGATGAACAGATTGTTTGTAGTTTCTTTGTTGTAATGGAGGTCTTGTAAAAATATGGCCATACCAAGTGCCAATATGAATAACGTGTTAGTTTAAAACTGCGATAGTTTTTTTTGTGAAACCAAGACATATTAAAAAGTTATAAATCAAGCTCCTATAGTTTTCTAAGGAAAAATCTAGATTGAATTGGGATAAAGAGCTTAAAAACTGAAATAACGAATCTTGTATTTCATCGGGGCTTTTTTTCCTTTTCCCCCACCCACTATAGCATCATTTCTATGTTTTAGTGAGAATTTTTACAAAATTCTTAAAAGCAACGATCGTAGTGAAGACTCTTAGATAAGTCCTGCTCCATTTTTTAAAGAGTAATGAACGTAGTGAAAACTCTTATAAAGGTCTTGCTCATTTTTTTTTCAAGAAAAGTTTTAAATTAATTATGCACTTAGATATTATACACTTTTTTGTGTTCAATTGACCTTCATCTGCTGAAAGTGACGTAAGAAACACTCTCTAAATACAAATGTGGAAATGGCGCAAAAAAACATGAAAGATTTCTAGTTTCGAAAGTGGAATTTATTTTTAAGATTTCCCAGCGGAAAAAAACTTTACCTATTGAACCAGTTTTCTCAAATTGGCTTCATGTTATCAAAAAAGCTCCAATCATAAATTGTTCTAAAATTTCAAAGAGCTGAAAGGGAATCTATTTTTTCCTTTAAAGTTCGAAAATTTGAAATTTTTTCAAGAAAGGTTTTTTTATGTTTACTTGCATGCATTATGCTTTTCCGGTCTTCAATTGGTTATGTTATACGCAGGCCAAATATTTTTTATGAAGCCTAATTAACCCGGATGCCTTAAAGTGGAACAATCGCACAATGTGTAAAGAAAATTACTCATAAAAATCGCAGATGGTGCGATGGGATGAGAAAGTCTCAAGCAGAAATTTCAGAGGCTCAAACACAAAACTACAATCTCCTCCTTTTTTACAAATTGGTTTGTTATCGGCAATTACTTTTTAGCCCTTATTTTTTCTCAGCCCACATTTTTTCTACCCCCTCTTTTTCACCCCAACTCAACACATTTAAAGATGCCACCCGACAGGCTAAGGTCTTGTTGCTATTCTCCCAAGCCAAACTGAAATTTAGACCTTCATTTTTATAGAATGCATATGTCATATATTATCACACAACTGCTAATTTAAACTGGTGAACGGATTTGGGACATGGCCATACAAAAAGGTTGGGTAAAGGAAAGGGTTAAAAATGTAATGCCATAAAATTTTTAAGATTAAACAATTTATGGTAATGAATATCGTGGGTTTAAAGGGATAGAACTACTGAAGACAGAAAGTAGCACTTAGAAAAATAGCTCCCATTGCCCATTCGTAACCTTTTATTAATTGATAATTTAGATAAGAAGTAAATTTTTGTCTAACAATCGATGATTGTGGCAAAGTTAAATCAAGTAATGAACTAAAGGTTTTCATTTATTCCACTATTTTTTCGAACACAAAAACTTTATACCAATTATAATACCAATTCAATACCAATTTTATACTAATTATTTGCTATTCTCCCAAGCCAAACTGAAATTTATACATACATTTTTATAGAATGCATATGTCATATATTATCACACAATTGCTACCTTAAACTGGTAAACGGTATTGGGACATGGCCGTAAAAAAAGGTTGGGTAAAGGAAAGGGTTAAAAATGTGAAGCCATAAATTTTTTAAAAATTATCAATTTATGGTAATGAATATCGTGGGTTTAAAGGGACGGAACCACTGAAGACATAAAGTAGCACTTAGAAAAAAGCTCCCATTGCGCGTTCGTTACCTTTTATCAATTGTTATTTCCAAAAAGAAGTAATTTTTTGACTAACAATCGATGATTGTTGCAAAGTTTAATCAAGTAGAGAACTAAAGGTTTTAATTTAATCCACTATTTTTTCGAACAGAAAAACTTTATACCAATTATAGTAGAATATGATCAGTTTTTCTCCTTTTAATCGATGTTTTTTTTACCAAAGTTTTTTTTACAAACTCTTGACGCAAACTTACAAACACCAATTTTCGCCTCCAGTTTCAGCTTTGTAAAACTTTTTGCCGTGGTTGAACTGCAGTAAATTATTAAGCTGATTTTTTCTAAAAGTGGCTGGAGTTTTTACATTGAACAAAAATGAATATCTAAATCTTGTTTTTGTCGATAAAGCAAACTTCGGGTAATCAAAAGTGGTCACGAGACCTGGGTTCCAGAGTGAGATCATGAATAAAATTACGATAAGATTCAGTTAAAATCAAACGAAAAGTTATATCTCATTGATTGTCGCCATTGACTGTTGCCAGAGTCGATGAAGATTGTGAAGAATCTTTTAAAAGTTGTGCCGCACTCTCGTATTCTGTAAGATATAAAAAACCTGCTTCAAAATCTGTAAATTATTGGAAATTTAAACAGAAAATATGAGAGATAGGTAGTATCTGAAAACAATGAGGTAAACATTTTCGGGTTAACATGTTATTAAAACGTTCTCAACAATCTCAAAAATCTATAAACATTTTTGATGGCCAACTGACCTTAATCGGACAAACCAGAAGTTTCAAGGTCTTTTGACTAAGAAAATCTAATTTTAGCTTTTTCACTTTCGCGCTATAATGACGTCATTAATTTAAGCGCGAAAATCTTCCGCGCCCAAAGGAGCGAAAACAGGTGCGAGTTTTACGGCCGATCGAGTTACCTCCCCGGAGCGGGTGGTGACTACGGCGGATCGGGCTATATTGTCTTTTCCGTATTTAAGTGTTTTTATACGAGCCAGAGGGTAGTGTACCCTTGGGCTGCGTTCGTCAACAATCCACACTAAGTTACCTTTTTTTGAATAAACGTCACTATTGGAGTGCCACCTACTGCGTTTTTTCAGCGCTGGCACATAATCGCAGCCAACGACTCCAAATTGCGTTGGCGTAGCTTTGCGCTCGGATATATTGCTTTCGATGGTCGAAGTGCTCCTGGAAAGAGAGAGAAGGGAAGCTAGTACCTACTGATGTTATAGGTCGAGCGTTCAAAGATTGTTCTACGAGACAGTAATTTGTTTCAAGGACTTCGGGAGTGAGCTTTTTACTTCCTATTATTGCGTAGAATACCTTTTTACAACACCGAACGAGACGTTCCCAAGAACCACCGTGATGCGGGGCTGTCGGGGGGTTAAATTTCCACTTAATACCCTTTTTCGCCAGCTAGCTCTGGGGGTGCTTGTCCGTTCCACTACTGAATACAATTCAAGAGTTCTTTCTCGGCTCCCACAAAATTGGTGCCGTTATCGGACCAAATGACTGATGGAGTGCCGCGACGGGCAATGAATCTTCCGATTCCCATTACACACGAACTCATGTCCATGAATGAGACAATCTCAAAATAAACAGCTCTTGTGTTCATACATGTAAAAAGGAAGCACCATCATTTTTCAGAACTCCTCCTGATTGAGACGTAAAAACTTCCAAAATAATCAACACCACAGTTTGTGACGGGAGGCTGGCGGAAGCTCTGCCATCATAGGTGTGACATTTTTGGCTTTGCGCTTCCTACATATAAGGCAGTGGGGTTCAATGGACTTTAATAAAGAGGGAAGGTTCAAGATTGCAAACTCTAAGGGGATTACAGCTCGCAGATAGTCTAAGAACTGGTGCTGATAGCGATAGTGAATATCACCTACGAACAATTTCACCAGAGTATGCCTTCCATCAAGGATTATTGGGTGTTTTGTGTCATATTCAGTTTCAACTAGGTGGCGAATTTGCCCTGTTGAACGAATGAGGAATGCAAGACCCATAAACGGTGCATAATGTGCGATACGACTAGACTTTTTGACAGTTTCGTCGCAGGACAGGAAAAAAAAATTTCCGCTCCAAAAGATTCCTTTTCGGAAATCAACAAAGGTCGTTGTTTGGCTGTTTCTAATTCAACATGTTCGGTTGATTCCTTGACTTTAGTGCGGTATTGCCGGTGTTTCGGACTCAATCTGAGCTGAAGGCAACCACTCGCTGGAATTTACGAAACGAGCTGAGCTCTTTCCATGCAAATAAAATGGGTTCTTTTTGTTTTTGTACAGCGTTTGATAAATTAGAGGACTGCTCTAAACCTTCATTATGGTCACAAGCGGGACCAGCCAGGCGGATTTTTTAAAGTACTTCTATGCTCGGCTTGAAAAGCCACTCGCCATTTTTCAGCAGACTTGGCCCGTTTACCCAGATGCTTGTTTTTAAGGACTCCGCTGAGATTCCTCTGGTTCCCGTATCAGCAGGATTGTCCCCACTTGAGACGTGAAACCACTGGTCTACGGTCGTAGTTTCCAGAATCTCTCCCCTCCGGTTTGCCACGAACGTGAGTTGCTCACTACCTGAGTTTAACCACTGGAGCACAGTTGTGCTGTCAGTCCACATGAACGTGTTTGACACAGGAATGGTTGGAGCTTTGAGAATATCATCCTTCAAGCGGGTAGCGAGTAACGCATTCTGCAGTTCAAGCTTCGGGATGGAAAGCGCTTTCGTGAGCGCTACTCTTGCTTTTCCAAAGACGAAGGCAACTTGT